ATCAATGCTATAGAACAATCTATCCCTTATCCCTCAATTAAACCAATAAATATTCCACAAGACAAATGCTCCCTATAACAATACTAAGAATTTCTTTTAATCTACTAGTAGTTTCCCTAACATGCAATCATACCTAGTTTCATTGAAACATACATATTAAAGAGATTATGAACGACATCTTATAAATCCTATCAAGAAAAATTAGCTATTCTCATGCATAAAGGTTCTTACTTTTAATTAGGATTCTGAAATTATTAATTAAGAATCAACTCTCGTTGCAAACCTAATCACATTCAATAACACTATTCTTAATTGTTTATTGATGATAAAACCAACCCTAATAACGAAGAATTATATATTAATTAAATTGGGAATTGAGAAGCAATTAACACATTAATCCACATTAGGGTTTAACCTAACCCTTGATTATAAAACTAGTCAAACATGATAAAAAAAATAAATAGAATAAACAATAAGAGAAAACATAATAATAATAATAATAATAATAATAATAATAATAATAATAATAATAATAATAATAATAATAATAATAATAATAATAATAATAATAATAATAATAAGAGAATAAAGGAGAGAAAATACTTGAATTGAATTAATGGAATTTTGAAAGTAAATCTTCAATGAACAAAATTTGGAAGAACAAAAAAGGAGAATAAAATATCGTAGAAATAAAAATAACTTAATGTTAAAACTCCCTCTTCTATCTTAAAATTAACCTATTTATATCCGAGTACAAAACTAGGAAATTCTATCTTATTAGGACTCTAAACGCTTAGCTAAAAGAATGACTACAAGCGGGTTGTGGCAGGGAATAATTCGCCACAGGCAGGTTGTGGAGTAGGCGGCCAAACCTTCCATTTCGCACTAAACACATCTTTTAACAAATCAAACCACGATTAAGGCTAACATCTAGAAAACCGAGCCCTTTTCCTACAAAAACAAAAGTAAAAATACCAAGGAGAGCAATATCAAAATATAAAGACGGAAAATTTGATAATTACCACCATCTATAGTAGGCAAAATTGAAATTACCACCTCATGTTTTTTTTACAAAAAAAATTACCACCTAGTTTTTTCCAAAACTTTTTAAACTCCCACCTGTTTGACGAATGATGTTATCATGGGGCCTAATTTCACGTTTTCCCTCTCTCCTCCCTTGAATTCCCCTGCTTCCTTGCCTTCCTTCTCCCTTTATCGAATTCTTCTTTGAAATTTGATTTCATTTTATCATAAAGAAAGACAGCCAATTTGGGAAGAAATAATAGCACAAAGATTACTTGAACCTGGAGTCATAACAAATACAATATGTATAACATGAGTGTATTTTTTCCCATGTAATAAATATATACTTATTTGCAAATTGTTAATTAGTGTTTAATGGTTATGGCTCCACGATTATTAAACTTAAGAATTAATTATGTGGTTTTAGACAATAGTTGAATGCCTATCATGCAACTTTTTACTATTACAAACATTTATAAATCCATATCAAGTGAAATCAAAAGCAAAGTTTTGTGAGTGTACATAACTCGATAAATTCAAATGACGTACAAATTCATGCACAAAATCTTGAAACGTGAATTTTGATGATTTAATCTATTTAATTCAACTGGTTTGAAACCCAAATTGACATCTTTCTTACATACATACGGAGTAACCACACTAAAAACAGTAAAAGTATATTCTAGTAAATTAAAACAATTATGAATTCCAGCAGATCTAATCATATATTATAAAATCACAACCGAGTTCATGTAAAAGTATATAAAATGAGCAAAATAACATTTAATAAACAAAAATACCCTTAGGTGCACATTACAGGCTTACACCCTAGTTTAAACTCCGTCTATTCAAGAAAAAATTGACACAGCAAATTATACACACATGCTGATGCATTATTTTGACCCTTGGTCCTTATGATGTTATAATCAATTATCATAAGTTAAACTTAATAGGCACAATGTGATTGGCTGAAATTACACACGTCAACACTTGCTTTTGATTTATTTTGTAATGCCAATTTAATTGAAATCATTTTTTAATTCTACTATTATTTATAAATTCAAAAAAAAATCGTAATTTCTTAAAATCATTTTGGCTTCCATAAAGAATTACAAAAAAATTTGATTTAAATAAAATAAAAAAGTATCATCCTTCTTCATCCAAATCAAAATAGTTTTAAATTTTTTCAGTTCAATTCATTCAATGATTCAATATTAGTTTTGATTAATTTTATCATTGAAAAATAAATCAAAAATAATGATAATGGGTAAAATTTCAACCTTCATTTTGCACCATTTAATGTAATGTATGGTACTCATTTTAGATGATCACTATAAAATCAACTATTTTATTAATAAATAGAAATTTGCACAATTGTATTTCATATAATACAAACCTGAAAACATGATAGATCAACTTATTTTATATATTAGTTCTAAACCCTTAAAAATTAAATCAAACATAAAAACATTCAATTTTTACCTCAATGAAAAAAAAAATTAATTCAATATAATAACTTAATTAGCCCTAAAAATTTAATTAAAAACCCTAAGAAACTCGAAAAAATCAAAAATAAAATAAAAATAAATAAAAAAAAACAAATAAAAAAATACTTACAAGCATAACATCAAATAAGGTGTCTTGATCAAGTTTTTCCATGAACTTTTCTTCCCACGACTTAATTATGCCATCATAAGCGTCACGACAAGTTCTTTTAGCCTCGTACATCTTGCAGTACTCGATGACCTTACCAAGAGTTTTTCCGTCGACATTTGGTCACGGGATAATGTGGCCTTGGATGTCGCCGAGATCGGCTATCATGTGCTTAATTATTATAGATTGTAACGCAACATTTTCATTGACATAGAAAAACTCCTTATCATTAGTCTTAAGGACGATCTTCTTCGGTGAACAAGCGTAGGAGGATGTTGACTGAAAACTTGTTGGAGGCTAGGGTCGAAAATGGTCAGATTAGGGCAGTATTTATAGCAAAAACAAAATACTACATCATTTCTTACAAATTAGGGAAAGAAATAATTTGTAAGAAATAATTTTGTTACTTTTTTTTAATTGAGGAAAGTGGCAAAGAGTCACTAGAATGCATTACTGTAATAGTTAAACTAAAATATGCGTATTAATTTACGTCAATTATAGATGAATCGGATTACCATAAATCGTTGGTAGTAATTACATCACTAGATATTGTTAACGAATAAACGAAAATTGGCGGTAATTACCACTAAGAGAATACGCGCAATTACTGATGGGAAATACCGATGGCCACTAAAAGTCTAAAATACGTCGTTAAATATGTAATAATGTTGAAATTCAATCAAGAGGAGATTATCAATGTTGTTTTCTTGATAATGTTCGTTAATGACTTGATTAATGATTGTTGCATTTAATTAAAAGGCGATTCTTCCTGAGGAAGAGCATTTATTTGATACCTAATTAAAAGTTTAAATTATGTTAGAAGGAACATCCCATTATTATTTCTTAGATCTGATAGATAATTTCAACATTTACATGCATGCAAAATTTACAGATCAAAAACATTTTTCGATGATTTTTATTTGGTATTATCGGAAATACTTTAACCAAGTGACCGATGACTACTAAAAACTGTTGGTATTTTCGACGGCCACAAAACTTGCGGAAAATACCAACGAAACACAATGAAGAAAATAAATGAAAAAATCCTGCCACTGTCCCCCACCAATAGCCACTCACAACACCAATCTCAAAAAATAAAAAGAAAATAAGTTCCAAGAGACAAACAAACTAAGAACTTAAGTAAACTTCAGAAAGTTAAAAAAAAAAAATTCAAATTATTATCTAGATTTTATCTATCTTTACAAAAATCCAAATTATTTTATATCAGCATAAGGGGAAAAAATGTTGATTTTACCACTTTTAGAGAAACAAAATTTTAATGTTACCACTATTTAGCAAATTTTGCCCTTGAAAAATTAATTGAAGAATTTATATAAATAATTGAATAGGTAAAGAAGTTGGAGGAAATTATACATTTTGAAATTTTGTGAAAAAATAAGGGAAAATAGCCATAATTTAATTCATATAAATAATTTTACGGACGTAATTTGGTTATACTTAATGTAATTTAAATTTGATTTTTTCGTTTGTAAAAACAATTTTTTTTTTGTAAGTGTTAATCAATTTATTGATGTACGTAGAATTCGAGGTTTTATAAGAGTGATAAAATAAATAAATAATCCGAATAGTTTTTCAGCAATGTAACATTCCATTTAAGACCCATATATGTTTGTAAGATACTTTTGCAAGAGTTAAATGTCTCATAGCCTCCATCAGTTTTAAATATAAGGCCTATCAACAGAATAAACATGCATGTTTACATAGATTTTACCATGCTTTCGACCTTTCGATCAACTTATAATTCAACTACGATTATCAATAAGATTCATAAGATCAAAATACCAAATATAATAATCTTGTTATTATCATAACTTTTACGGTATTATCTATTGATTTATTTCTAACACGTAGTTATTATTATATTTATAAATCAACATATAATTTATATATTCAACTTTTAAAAGTAGAAAAACTATATATAGTGGTATCTTCTTAACTAGGAATTTTATCAATTCTGGAGATATATGTAATTAATGTATATTGATAATCTCATATCATAGCGTCATATGATAGGTTAACAATTAATGAATACAATAATTTAGTATCTGTTACGATAAATACTTCAATAAGGACCATGTTTTTTCTATATCCATGAAATGGTTAACCAATAAATGAGATACTTTATTGACACTAAAAATAAATATATATGAAAAATTAATTAAAAACAAAACTTGGTAGTTTTAATTATTACCCTTTCGTCATCTATCTTATCAAACATTAGAATGTAAAGAAAAACAAAAGAAAAAATTGAACAAAATCAATAACAAATCAAATTATTAAATCAAAGAAAAAAAAATACTCACAAGAATGAGTTTAAACAGGGTCTCTTGGTCAACTTTGAGGAAGTCCTTATGCCATTGCCTGATTTCATCTTTAGTGGTTTCGGATTCAGGGTTATCGACAACGTGCTTGTTGCAGTACTTTATAATCTTAGAGAGAATTTTAGAGTCTACATTAGGCACTTGAATAAGATTGTTGCAGTCGCTGAGGTCTTTGATCATGTGCTTGAGGGTTTGAGAAAGCCTTGCTGCGTTTTTGTCGCTTTTAAAAACCTCCCCCTCAAAAGTCCTAAGGGTAAATTTCTTGGAAGATGGTGGAGAAGATGAGGATGATGCCAGGGAATTGGAGATTTCTCGGAAGGAAAAGAGGAGAGGAATATTTTGTAAAATTATGACTTGTTTTGAAAATATGTTGACTGATGAGACTTTGAAAGACTACTAGGGTTGTTTTTATACATGTTATTGGGGATTATAGAAATATCTTAAAGGATGCTATCTAACTTTTTCCAACAAATTTTATCCTAGCCTATCCAGCTATCCTATATGATTTTAATTTAGGGTATGATATAAAAAGTTAACTTTTATGCAAATTAATGGGTCAAGTGTGGCCCAATGAGTCAAGTGTGGCCCAATGAATTTGATACAATTTTGATTTGAGGAAAAAAAAAAGAGAAGAAAGCCGCTACTAGTGGATAGAGGAAATAAGGAGCTGCTTTTGGGGAACAATTGAGGAAGAGCAGAAGGTTGTCAACAAGTTCTCTCCCTCATACAAGCATGGAAAAACCTTTGGAGTTAAATGCTGATGAAAATGTGCTTGAAGGGCAGGTGTCTGAGCTTACTAACAGAGCAAAGGTTGCTGAAAAAAAAAACTTTAAGAGGCTATGGGAAAAATACAAAAGTTGGAGAGAGGAGTACAGGGACTTGAGAAGAGTCTTAGGGAACAGAAGGTGGAGTTCCAGTAGGCTATCAACAACTTGGAAGATAAACTCCAAGCCAGTATTGAGCATCAAAAGCATGACAACAAGATAATGGAGTTTCTTCAGAGTTGACCAGTTTATATCTCTCTAGTTTATCATTAACCTAGTCTATTTTCAGCCAAGCCTAGCCTTAATCCTTTATTTTGGTTGTCTTAGTCATGAACAATTTCAGTTTTTATTTTATTATAGTTTGAAATATTTTGGGTTTGTAATTGAATCAAGCAGGATTATCTTTGGATTTTAATGAATATTTGGAACTTTTTCCTATACATGTGTGTTTTGTATGTTATGAAAGCATGTGCAGGAAAGTGGAACTAAATGAAGGGAATTTAGTAGCGCTGCCTTCAATTTCCCACACTCGATGAATTGCTTGTAGGGTTGTGGCTAGGTGCTTAATAACTTGAAGTGCAAGAGTTTTTTATAATTCAAAAATAGGAAAAGAAGCAAACTTGAAGGCTGAATTTGTTCAAGGTTTTAGTTGATAAAGTATCAGAAGCTTCTCTAATGTTGCTGTGTTTTAAGTTTGCTAAAGTTTGTCATCATCAAAAAGCGGGAAATTGTTGAAGTTAAAGGTTTGATGATGATGAACTTAAACAAAGCAAATTCAAACTAATAAGAGTTCTCTAAGTGTTGTGACTAGAACAGAAGAAGTTGACTTTGGAAGTTGAAGAGGATCCTAACTATGAAGACTCATAGAGATCTCAAGGATAGTTAAGGAAGGTAGGAGAAGAGTTCCCTCACATGAACTAACTAAGTTCTCTAACATAAACTTGAAGATAGCAAGTTAGAGTGTTGACTTGGTCTGCATTGAAGACATTAAGTTCTGGAAGAACTTAGCTTGCGAAGTCCCAATTCAGAACTAGAAAGCAAGTGACAGCAGGAACTTAGTCCTGGACTGCGTGAAGCCCAAGTATCCTAGAATACATAGTATTGGCAAAGTAATTTTTTTTTTTTTAAGATTTTATCTTTTAGATTTGCTGTAAATATGTTAAGTAGGTTTACGCGTGTGACTTATTAGAAACATGACAAAAAGCTTGGCAAGCTTCTTAAAATAGGAAAGTTTAAAAAGATAAGTTTTTAGAAAAAGATTTACTATATGATTTATTTCTTGAAAACCGATTATCAAAAAGATATTATTCTTCTTGATAATTTATCTTTGATAAGTTTTCTAAAAGGTTTTCTTTAAAATAGATTTACTTAAAACCGTGTTTTAAGATTTTGGTAAAATATCATATTTATCTTTTGAAAGCCCTACTTATATACAAGCAAGTCTTGTATAAATTGTAGAAATCCTAATTCATTATTTTCTGTGAGTTTATGCATGAAGAAATCAAAGTGTGCTTAATTGTGTAAGTTTGCCAAGTCAATAAATTTGTCATATTAGTTTCGGTTTTCATGCGTAGCTTGTCTCTTATATAATAAGAGTCTATATTTTGTAATTGGTTGGGTTCTTGGGTGTGTGTGTGTAATCTATCTTTTCATATAGTGTTGTAGGTTTCTAGGTTGAAGTTGAGTGAGTAGTGTTCAGTGAATATGAGTGAATCTAAGTCAAAGACTTAGGTTTGGTAGGATAAGGTCCTACTGGGTAGCAAGTTCAGTCTAGAACTTGTGAGTAAAGGTCCGATTATAATAGGTTGTAACTTGTATGTTTGCCCAATTACAGTGAAATGGTTTAGTTTTGAAATCCCTTAGAAGCGTCGAGGTTTTACTTCATGTTGGGCCCTAGAAGGTTTCCTCGTAAAATATTGTGTGCATTGCAAGTTCCTTTACAGTTTGTTTTACATTCCACAAAAAGTAGTCACTAGGAACACTATAATTCACCCCCCTCTCTTGTAGTGTTCGTCTCAACTAACAATAGTGTACTTCACTAGTTATTTATAATAGACAAACAAAAGTTAGCGCACGGTAAGTACATCTTGATAACAGTGTAACACACAAACATTCCATCCAATCTCTCTCGTATATATTCGTTATCTAATAGAGTATAAAGTAATTTTTAATGATCTTTTCAATTTGGTAGTATGTGATAAAAACATTCTTGTTGAAATTTTCGACTAGAACTTGTGAAGATCCTTCTCCACGGGGCAATAATAATGTTGAAATTCATTCAAGAAGAGATTAATCAATGTTGTTTTCTAGTTAATGTTCGTTAATGACTTGATTAATGATTTTTGCATTTAATTACAAGGTGTTTCGTCCAGAGAAAGAGAGTTTATTTGATACCTTATTAAAATCTCAAATTGTGTTAGGAACATCCCATTATTATTTATTAGATTTGATAGATAAATTTGACATTTACATGCATGCAAAATTAACAGCTCAAATACATTTTTCAACGATTTATATTTGGTAATATTGGAAAGACTTTAACCATGTGACCAATGAGTGATAAAAACTGTTGGTATTTCTGACGACCACAAAACTATCGGAAAACACCAAAGGAAAAAAATGTAGAAAAAAATTAAAAAAATCCACCCACTGTCCCCCACCAACGGCCACTCACAATACCAATCTCAGAAAATAAACTCCGAGAGACTAACAAACTAAGAACTTAAGTAAACATCTAAAAGTCCAAAAAAAAATCAACCGCTAAAAAGTTGAAATTATGAGCTATTTACCTACCTTTACAAAAATCCGGACTATTTTATATCACCCTAAGAAAAAAAAAGTTGATTTTATCACTTGAAAACACTATATTAAATTCAAGGAGAGCATTGAAATCACAAGCAGTTGCACTCTAGTAAGGATGATGTAGGTTGAATAGAAATTATGAAAAATTAAAAACATGCTCTAGAAAAGAATGGCACAAGGAAAGTATAATGGAATCAAGATCTACCTCTCAAAAAACATCCTTTTGGCAATTGATTGGTGTATCAGATCAAATAAAATTCCAATGGGAGAATTAAATAGTTAAATGCGGACTTGTCATATTTAGTAATCAACAAAAGGGAGGCATTGATTACACCAAACTTTAGCACCCGTGGCTAAAATGGTCAAAATACAAGCCTTAATTTCTTGCTATTACAGCTTCTATAAACTAGGAGCTACATTATATGGGTTTTCACAATCTCTTTATATTGGGAGATCTTGATGAGGAGGTATACATGAAAGTACCTTCTGGCTTTGAATCTTCATTCTTACCCTAACAAGGTATGTTGTCTTCGAAATTCTCTTAATGGCATTAAACAAGCACCAACGTGTTGTACTCCGATTATTGTTGTGTTTGTGAAACTTTGTGTGCTTTGAAAGAGTACAGTTTCTTATGTACGTACCCCGATTATTCTTTATTCACATATAATAAAGATTGGTTCTATACAAATCAATGTTTTTATTTATAATATGTTGATGATCTCATTATTTTTGGGAATGATATGATTCTTCTTCTTTAAAGACATTCAGTGATTATTTTCATATGAAGGATCTTGGTTCTTTGAAATATTTTTTTCGGCATTATTGAAGTGGCTAGTAGTTCTTCTAGTTTGTTCCTTTATCAAAGGAAGTGTACTCTTGATATATTTTATGTGGATGAATTATTAGTTACAAACCTATTGGATTTCCTATATATTGATTAAAACCACAAGCTAGACTTGGCTAGTAGTGTTGCACTCTCTGATCTTGAAGCCTATCGAAGGCCTATTGGTAAGATGATTTATATCACAGTCACTCGACTAGATCTTGCTTATTTATGTCGGGTCTTATTTCAATTCATGAAAAATTGAACACTGAGAATCAACCTTAAAATAAGGCTCATGTGATATTTGAAAGGCAATCATGGACAGGGAATTCTTTTGAGTGTTGATAATGATTTAACCTTGCATGGTTGGTGTGATTCAAATTGGCTCGCATATCCTGTTACATGTAGATCTTTGATTGGATGGCTCATGTTTCTTGTTCATTCTCCCATTTCATGGAAGACAAAGAAACAAATCATGATTTGTAGTTCTTTGACAAAGGAAAAAATTAAAGCGCATTATGAATGCTATCACTTGTGAATTAAAGTGATTAAAGGGGCTTTTATTGTGTTTAAGAATTGTTTTTCATAAACGAACCAACCATAGAATTTAAATGTTCTTTTGTTTACCAATGCATGGCCCTTGGCAAGACGAAATTGGTTTATTTATTACATAAGATGGGAATTGCATCTCACCTCCACATAAGGGGTGTTAGGATTTGTTCAGATATTTGATAAGTTACCTTAAATATATGATATGTTTTGATATTATATTGATTGTGTACATCCTAATA